ATACAAAAAGTGACCTTTCCATTCCTCCGCACAATGTCTACACCGCGTTGCGTAAAAGTGAGCGTGATTGTTTGGAAAAGTTACAGGAATTGCGGCTTTCTGATACCGTTAAATCATCTTTGTTTCAAGTATGCCTTTATGATGTTTACATATAACATTCAATAACTGTCAAATCTTTATTTTTGTAACAAAATCATTCGCTAATTTTATTCCATATTAGCAACTTTTATCAAAGATTAGATGTTTGTTGAAGTTTTGTGAGGAAGAGTAGTAGCGTCAAGCTGCTGAGAGTGTTTGAACTTAGTATGTAAGTAAACCAAAGGTCCATTTTTTCAAAGTTCTGCTGATAGTTTAATCCAAGAGGTTCAGAGCTGAGTCTCTTCTCACACCATACAGAATCTTACATACAAAATATCATTCATACAGCTCAGTGATGATTATCTGCCATTCCCAGTAGCTCTTTTGGGGCAGGATGTTCATCTGACCAGTCGAACGATACATGTTGGGCTCGCTGTACTGCACAGATTTCTTATTTGTTTTCAAGATTGATTTGTTATTTGCAGTTTATTCTTTATCATTATAAAGGGTGTGGCTAGTTTCAGATCAGAACGGTGATAACTGGATTGTAAACACTAATGCAGTGCATGCATTTCGACCATAGTGTTTTATCAAGTCAACGATCGCCATTGTTAGCTAGTTAGCTAATGGCGCTTTTCCACTGCAGGGCCTCGCTCGGCTTAGTACGGTATGACTAGGCCTCGTTAGGCCTTGGTAGGCCAGGCTCACTTTATGCTGCGTTTCCATTACAGTTTAGGAACTGGGGCAGTAACTATAGTAACGCAGTGTAGGCGGAGCCGTGACGTCATCTTCAATGCGAAACACAAAACCAACATCAGCCGTTAGCTGTTAGCAGTCAGAGCTCACAGCTCCTCATATCTGTTCAGAAACTAGACAAAAGTTAAACAAGTACAAACCACAGACTGTCTGTGTCATGGCGAATATAGTCGCTGCTTTATTTATGTCTGTAGGCCGTTGTTGTGAGTGTGGACGGTCGGAGCATATACAACGTTAGCTTAGCCGATCTCCATTCAGAAAACACGCATTTTAAAAGGTTTTTCGCCTGCCGTCTGTCTGCAGACTTGACAAAGCATTAATTCATGGTTTTTACTAACTGGTATCAGTATGTTGTTACTTCAGCATCATTTTGAAACGTGTATTACAATTAAATCACGGTCAAATATGTTCATTTTGTTGTAGTTGCCAGCGATTCTCTCACTAGTTTAGCATACTCAGCCCGGTTGTTGGCCCGGAAAGAACCTCGATTTTGGAGAGCCAGAAAAACTGTGAAAAAGTACCTGCTAGCCGGAACTACGCCTCGTGGAAACGCAACCAAAAACGGGCACGGCACGCTTAAACCGTGCTGTAGTGGAAATGCGCCATCAGTGGTACCAAATCATTACAAACGGCTAACTTACTGTAACCCTATAAAATAAACGACGGCTTCTTTTTGACAATTGTATAGTGGTTTGTTTCTTAAATAGTGAAAAAACCCACAAGTATAACTTTTATTTGCATATTGCTGTGTTACTGGTCACATATGATACGTAGCTAAGATGGCGGTCGTCGAGTGTGAGAAGAGTCCAGCATTTTAACTCAACTTTTTGACCGTTATGAGTAGCAGGTACTATAGTGCTCTGCATTTTGCCATTCTTTGCATTGGTATGAACTTACTTTACTTGTGTAAAGTCTTGACACTGATTTGGTTAATGGTCCCATTCAAAAGAAGTTGCATATATCCTAATCTGTTCTGAAGACATCATTCTGGAAATAAGTTAAACGCTTTATCTGTTGTTTTTGTTTCTGTGCTTATTGTTTTGACATCCTAAATAACTTGAACGGAAGCTAATAGAAAAACATATTCACACTGACCAACCTGAACTTTAACAACCTAGGTACAAATGGATAGCATCAGACATGCAACAATACGGCAACTTTTACTGACAGATCTTGACAATCGATAGCCCGGTGCTTCCTCTCATCTCCACTTTAACCGTGTGAGGCTTAGTCTTGTCAATCCGCTGCATTTACCAAACTGGGACAAAGAAGTAAGAAGGATGGACTTTCTCTCTTATTTATGTGAAGATGTTTATTGCTGATGAAGATCCAATGCATTAGCGGCACGTCATGTGTCATAACGTGGGAGACCTCTGTGTGTTTTTTTACAGCAGGATTGTTCCCAGTAAGATGATTACTGTACCCCTACATACAGTATGTCTATACCAGTTTTTGTGTTCCCCTCCTGTGTGCAGGAAACCTTGCTTTATTATTTGAATGCTATTTAGCCGTCTGGTCTGACTCTTGCTTCTTCTAAATTGCCTTCTTGAACCAAATACTAACGAGGGCTTGCTCTTCTTTTCGGTCGTTCAGCTCCATGCAGTAGTAAAATGGAGGTTAACCACACTCGTGCTCGACCAATCCTAGTTGACGGCACTGCTGGAAACCTTTTAAAGTTCCCGAACCTTGCATTTAGTGTCATCTTCTGAGCAGTGCTCGGCTGTTTCACAATGCTCCTTACAGATGTGCTTACTGTTGCTTCTCCAATCTTTATAGACAGCACTGCCGACAATCCCTGGACTCTGTTTTTCCTTCCAATTAAAGCCCAAACTAGTCCCCAAAAAAGCAGTCAAACACAGTAAAGTAACAATGAAGGAAACAAGTGACTCTTTTTGTTTCTGCGCTGGTAAGCAGCTACTTGTAATTCCCCTCAATCATTAAGATGTATGACTTGGTGGCGAGAGTTTCCCCCAGTGACCATTTGAAGACTGAATTTCACAATGACCTCTTTGTCTCGTCCCATAGTACCATATTATCAAACATCCACATACCACCAAACAACTCAGTCCTCTGTACAATGAGACCTACCACAGTTTCCAATCTATATCACTGTGTAATTAAAGGGCTAAACGTGTCTAATGAAAAGAAAGCTTAAGCTGGACTTTGGCTTTTTAAAAAGGAACATTTTCTTTCCTGTATTCTGAATTGCCTAAAATGTCAACTCGTCTTAAGCCACTCTGAGCTTATTTGAAATGTTTGTAAAATAATGTATATAATTTGATCAGTTCTGTGTAAATCTTCACCCAGCGTCTTACAGTATGTCTACAATTGAAAATGCAATACATGTAGTGTTTGGTTTAGTACAAAACAACGATTATGAACTGATGATGGATGTTGGATTTCCTTTGTAATCTTCTCCTTTACTAGTCTGCCGGAGTACTGTGTATTTAAATGACCACTGAAGATTGCTCTGAAAGGAATGCTTGATCTGTTTCTTGACTCTTAATTGGTTCCCCCCAATGAGGTGACAATGATTTCGGCACATGAGGGTTCGATTTCATTTTTTGTGTTTTGATTTTTTCCATTATAGTGCTTTTTGTGCAAATGCTTTGGAATAAAATGACATATGATATAAAAAAATATGGTGTCTTGTGAAATCTGTGACCACTTTACGCCAGTTTGAACAGCAGGATGTCCAGCCTGACTAATGGCAGAAGCCACTTGCAGAAGATACAGTTCTTTACTTTTGAGCTACAACAACAGGGATGTCAGCAGGCTTTGATCAAGCGAATATCCGAAAGAAACTTCACTCTCAGATATTTCAACCATGCAATCTCCCTTCCGAGGTGGTATATTGTCATTATAAGAACATTTGTACATGACAAAGTTAAAGTTCTGTGATAACTGCCCTCTAGTTTTTTTTTCTATTGGAACAAGGCTTTAGTGATGTGTCGGTCGCGAACGAGCCGGCTCTTTTAAGTGAACGACGGGAGCCGGCTCGCGCCCGCGAACGAGCCGTTTTTTTGTTTTTGTTATTTTTTGTTAAGTAATACAAGACCGAATGATATGATGATCTCCACGCTACAGCTGCTCCGTGCATGCATGCAGTGGCATGTAATATCCAAGGATTAGAGACTGTTGGATGCTGCTGTTTTGAGCATTGCAATACATTTATTTTTATTATGTTTTTTTATGATTAGAGACGGTTGGATGCTGCTGTACTGAGCATAGCAATATATTTATTTTCACTATGTTATTTATTTATGATTATCCTTGGGCTCAGCAAAGATTTGATGTCAGCTGTTGCTGTCTTTTTTTCTATAGTTAATACTGAAATAGAGCCCTGCTGTTTTGTCAGGGCCTTTTCTTTAAATATAATTTTAAAATGTCGATACAGTAGCCCCTTTTTTTAAATGTCTATGCTTAAGTTTTTATAGGTGTTGCTATCTGCTTTGTGTAGCGTGGTTCTACAAGCAAGTCTGTGCATGCATTGGGTGGTATCAGAGAGATACAAGGGTCTGTAAATGCAATGAAAACAATTGGCCACAGCAAATAATTGATATTAAACATGTAATTTTTACTTTTGAATACTTCAGTACAAAGGATGTATTGAATAATTTAAGTGATATGTGTACACATATAAATCATTAGTCAAAACAGGGCTACATTTGATTGAATTATAAAAGGTATAATATGTGGTAAACTGAAGAGCCGTTTGGGAGCCGAAAGAGCCGGCTCTTCTTGGTGAGCCGAGCCAAATGATCCGGCTCACCAAGAAGAGCCGGAATTCCCATCACTGCTAGGCTTCATGATATCCTCCACAACAGCTATATAAACAAAAAAAAAACAGATTTTGAGAATTTAAGCCAAGTCTGAAGGTCTCTCTTTAAAAAAAAGTGTATAATTTGGGGTCTGAATACTTCTATTTAAAAACACTAATTAAAATGGATGTGAAATTGTCTCTCAGTCCATTCACAGGAACGCAGCTTTTTTATTCTGAAATTCTACCCTCTCTTACCGTAATGTCTAGTGTGGAGGTACAGTGACCGCTCATTGGCTGTGTGTGTGTGTGTGTGTGTGTGTGTGTGTGTGTGTGTGTGTGTGTGTGTGTGTGTGTGTGTGTGTGTGTGTGTGTGTGTGTGTGTGTGTGTGTGTGTGTTGCATAATGAGAGGGACAGCAGCTCTGCTGCTACATGTTTCCTGAAGACGGGCTCCTGTCTGTGCAGCCTGTTTTCTAAACTCTTGCAGCAGTTTCAGTGAGGAGTTCACGATGATACCTCTGTTGTTCAGCAGCGTTTTAGCAGGACTTTTAGCTCTGCTTCTCTACCAGAGGACGGTGTATCCCTTCTTCTGGGTGGATCTGATTTACTACCTCAAACTTCGGAGGTACGGGAAGTCTCTGCAGGCTCGTATGAAGTCAGGGATCATCACATACCTCGACTGTTTTCTCCACCAGGCGAGGAAGAACCCGAACAAACCCTTCATCATCTTCGAAAGCCAGACTCTGAGTTTCCGTGATGTGGACCGGAGGAGTAACCAGATAGCGAACGCGTTCAGGGCGCACGGTTCTCCGGGACAAGGGGACATTGTGGCCATGTTGATGTGCAACGAACCAGACTTTATCTGTGTGTGGCTCGGTTTGTGCAAGCTGGGCTGTGAGGTGGCCTTTCTGAACAACAACATTAAGGCAAAGTCTCTGCTGCACTGCTTCGGGATCTGCGGGGCCAAAACCCTGGTGGTGGGCGCAGGTACTGCACCTTCAAAACTACAACTGATTCAAGATTCAAGGCTTTTGTTGTCATTTGTACATATCTATAGTGTAGATATGTACAAATGAAAATCTTAGGTCACAGGCTCCTCCAACAGTGCAACAACTTTAAAACAGATAAAATAGTGCAAGTAAATACAATAAAATAGAATAGAATAGAGATAGTGCAAGAATAGTCTATAATTGGAATATGATATATTAGATAAATGGAAGATGGAATGGAATAAACTGCTGGGAGAAGTAGATAGATAGATAGATAGATACTTTTGTTAACCCTCCTCTTATTCTTGGGATCAATTTGACCCCATTCAATGTATCTAAACATTTTTTTTCACATTATTTGTTTTGCTTAGTATTTCATGACTTTTCCTAATTTAGTGAGGACTAATGGGTAAACATAAAATGAACATGAAGATCTTTTTTAAATGTCCTGTACGCACTTTGTACGCATCGGTGTTCCTTGGGGTCAATTTGACCCCAGGCTGTTTTAGGAGTATAAAACATATAAAAATGTCAACATTTTAAACATATTTGTGTTGATTGTGTAGGAGGATATTGAGGTGACTATTACATGCAAATGTGTCATTGTAAAAAAAAAACTACCCTCTGCTTTAGTTATTGGTCCTTTAACAACATCAAAAATATCTTACTTTAAAGGTCACCTATCATACTATTTTTAGGCAATAGCATAGGTCTCAGATATATACAAATATATAAAAAACATGTCTATGAAGTGTTTTGCTCAAAATACCAAACAGATCACCCATTCTAGCCATGCCTCATATCCCTCTATTTCACTTCCTGTTTCAAAAGTGATGATTTGGGGTATAAAGCTTTAAAAAAAAAAAAAACTTGATAAAAATAAAAGGAGGGGTCTGAGCTCATGCGGGACCCGGCAGCTACTGTCTAAACTAAATGCTGCCGTGATGAAACGCCATATCATGGATTATCAAGGATTATTTCTGAAACAGTATGGAGCTCAAAGGCTTTCTCTCTTGCCGGTTATACCACAAGGGGAGTTCCTTTTTATTTCCTGCTTCTTCACACACATGCTCTCCAGTACAGGTTAGCTCTGAGTGTTAGCGATGCTAATGTAAACATGCACCGACCATATTACGTCCAAAACAGTCGGGCATTGTTTCTGATAGCAACTTTCTGATAGTGCCGTGGGCCCACATTTCCGATATTACGTCATATCGGACGCAAATCTGGATCAGCTCCGTTGTAGCCCCGTTTTTAGAGATTTGGGTACGGAGGAAAAGAGAGAGGGTTTTATTTTCTGACGCTGCGTGAGTTCCCCGACACACCGGGGACACATTTTTATGTAAAAGACATCAAAAAGTGCATTTTGCATGATAGGTCCCCTTTAACATTTTATGTCAGTCATTGAGATTTTATGGTGATTTATATATTTTTTGATAGTCACATAATAGGAATTCTGGTTGTATAAAGGGGTCTGTAGGGGGGAAGGTTGGGTTAATGTTTTATTTAAATGGTTATTTAGGTCGTCAACTAAGATACCTAAAGCACCAGAGACATACATGTTGGTTAACATTTGGAATATGATCATTGTCTTGAGTTTTAAACTACTGGGGTGTAAAGTAAATCTGAGGATAACAGGAGGGTTAAGACTTGATTATATTTCACATCATTAATCCAGATCTATAAAGTAACTAAAGGTATTAAATACATGTAGTGGAGTAAAAGTACACCATTTACCTCTGAATTGTAGTGGAGTAGAAGTAAAAATGAAAATACTCAAGTAAAGTACCTACAAATTGCACGTTTACTTCACCTGTTGGGTTTATTTTGTATCTAGTCTACATTCAGAATCTCACTCGAGCAGAGGTGGGAACACACTTTCCAGTTTTCTCTTCCCAAAAACAATGGCTGTAACTCCAGTGAGAGCAATAGGTTATCAGGGGGGTTTCATCACTTATATCGCTTATATCGTAGTATTGCTATCTGCCGGATGTTACAGTAACCCTTCAGGTGAGGCCCTCCTAAGGAGAAATGCTATCAGTGGTGCTGATAGTTAACAGGCACTGAGCAAAGTACCAGCAGTAAAAACTCCCCTGTGTTGGGATGGAGGGAAATATCAGAAACAGGAGATTATATCGACTTTTCACCTGCTTTCTGTCTGTGTCATGGTGTGTGAATACTCATGTTGTCACGCACAGAAGAGAGAATAACAACGGAGTATAATTCAGTGTGAAACAAAGCAAACCTCTGAGACGCTGGATGTCCCAAAAACTCTTTAAATTGGCCCATTTTTTCTCCTCCACTTTTTAAAAGTATACTTGTTATACAGTAAATGTTATCGTGTAGTTTCCAGCTCATAGAGTCCTATAGTGAACCCAGAAATGTGTAGTACCACAAAGTGTTATTATAGAAATGTATAGTAAGGGTCCCCAGCACATAGAAACTGCCGGATGCTGACTTGTTGTTGTGCAATTTGAACAATTAGCATTAATTAGGATTTAAGCAGTAGTAAAACAATTGCTTTGCAGATTTTGATAATGTTGGTGTGTTTTTGAGGATGCTTTAGTTTCCCTCAATAATTTTCACCACAACACACAGATAATGGTTCCTCCAAAAATACCCTGTAGCCTGACAAATAGTAGGGAAATGTGTGTGTTCAAAAAAAAGGGTGGCAGGCAATATAGTTTTAATGTTATCTGTCCCAAAGTGACGCCCCTGCTCTTAGATGATTACAGAGTGGATCCAACATGTCTGTCTTCAGTTCTGTGTGATGAATCATGTCCCGTTGTGTGTGTGTGTGTTGATCCAGATTTGGTGCATTTGGTGGAGGAGGTGTTGCCGGACCTGAAGAAGGACAACATGGCGCTGTGGGTGGTGGATCACACGGCCCCCTCAGAGGAGTTCACCAGTCTACTCGATAAGGTGGAGAGCATGTCTGGAGAAAGCTTGAGTGACCTTCCTAAAGTGAACATCATGTCCAACTTCCTCTTCATCTTCACTTCAGGCACCACAGGTACTGCACAGCATGATACTCTTCACAAATCACAGTCACACATCTAAACTACTTGTAGTGGCAAAAAACGTAAAGAAATTAAATGGATTAAACTGTCGCTGAGGCACCAGAAGGCAAATCTTACGCAGGGAATAATGATCCAAGTCTAGGCAGGAGCTTTGTTTCATACATTTATTTTGATAATCCAATATCAACAAAGTTACATTAAGAGTTATCCTTCAACTTCCCCTGTGTCTTTCCTGTAGCCTCCTTGTGCTAACCCTGGTAAAAAAAAAACATTTGCCTATACTGGTGCGATAATCCCACCACCGCCTGTCTCCAATATGTAAATGGCTTGTATCAATCACCCACAATTTGGCCTTAATGATTAAATATGAAGAAATACTATTAACTTCAGATGATTGTAGGGGTCTACTCATATTGATTTATATGGATGCAGGAACATATTTTAGCCCTGGTACTAAGGAACAGTATATTATGGATTTATTTTACATAAGTACGGTCCATATATTCATGTCCGTTAGCATTTAGCTTAGCATCAGTACGTCCTCTCAGACCCGCTGGCATGGCTTAGTCTTGTTTTATAACAGCAATGCCATTCAATTTTGGGTTAAGGCACGGGAGATAGAAAAGCAAACCAAAGGAAATAAAATAAACCTAAAAAGAAATGAAAAGCAGCTTCTGAGCCAAGACATTACAGAGGCCTGTACGACGAAGCCGGATTTTCACTTAGCCGGCTAACTTCAGGGAAAACTCTGGGTTTCCGGTCCTGCGACGCTGGTTCACTTCTTAGCGGGCTAGATCTCCATGGTAACTTATGCTGAACGGCTAGCCTGGTCCGGAGCAGGTTAGGTTGCAGGATAAGAGATCAACTCAGTGAAAGCACCGCCTGCTGACCAATCAGAGCTCAGTGTGCGGAGTTTAAAGCGATCAAGTCATATTACAGGATAGAGGAAATACAGAAAGACGGCCGGCCAAAATCAACTGACTGTGTGAACGTGAAAATTAATAGAATATCCCCTCCCATCTTCAGAGCAATCTGACTATTATAACATTAGCGTTAAGAAAGCTTACTTAAATATCTGCCACGACATAAGTAACCGGATCAGAGTAACATTAAGTACAGTCCGCGGCACTGTGAGTGCAGACGTCGATGTGTCCCATTATCATTCATATCATATCACATCATAATGTATCATATATTTCCTTATTTGAGTCAGCTTCTTGAGCCGTATCTGGCCGTGCAACACTCACAGTGTCACACACTGTATGCAGAAGTATTATTTTAAGCAACACATTAAGTTGACGAAACACTCGAGTCAAATGTAATTAAAGTCAGATCCACTCGTGTCTTGGACGGGGCAGTGATTTCATAAACCTGTTAATGTATGCATTCAAACACTTTTTCTTTTACCAGCTGTATTCACCTTGCAGGTGCAGCTATGTGGCTTTTATCCTGGATAAAGTGTTTAAGTCATGGATGTTTAAAGTTGAACGTCTTCATATTTGTCTAATATTATAGTTGACTTGTCAGGAAGTATGACGCGCTGCTCTGTCAGTACGCTTGTCCATGTTTGTGATTGGTCGAATGCTCCAAATACCACCCCTTTTATGTGAACGTGCACCTAACTAGATAGGACACGGCTGGCTTGAGTTAACGAGTTGATAACCAGCGTCGTAGGACCGCTTAGTGAGAGCGCATTTGTTTTGGATTAGGTAAGCCGGGTAACTCAAACATATCCAGGTTAGGTTGAACCGGCTTCGTAGTACAGGCCTCGGGTCATCTGTTGTTGTTTATTCCAGTTACATCAGGGGTGTCCAAACTACGGCCCGCAGACCATTTTTAATCGGCCCTCAGCAAATTCAAAAAGTATAATGGAATACGGCCCACAAATGAAACTTGAGCTTGTCTTGTATTGTACTTCTTAAATATGAATGTAAACATATATCACACAGTAGTATTCATGTGTTAATAAAACCACTTTTCAAATAAATTCAGTCAATTAAAGTTGGAAACATTTTCTAACATATCTTAGTTGATAAGAAAAAAGCCCAATGACTTATTTACATAACAAGCTTGAAATAAACCCTTCCTATTTCTCCTTATTATAATCAATCTGAGGCTTCTGTTTTAAGGGATGAGCTGCCACACTCACAAGTGTCATGTACCTACATTTGATTGATGTCGCTGACTTATAACTGAACTTATGAGGCAGTATACATCTAGTGAGTGGCCCAGCCCTTCGTATATTTTTCTGTATGTGGCCCTCGGGAAAAGAGTTTGGACACCCCTGAGTTACATCCATTAAAACACTGTTTGAAGTACAGCTAGTGTTCTGAATCAAATTGAGCTTGACTCCACCACGTTTCAGAGCAGCAATGGAGTCTCAAAACCAAATTTGTCATACACAAGATTTGAACTGAACCAGCCGAAAACGCAGTTCAGTAACTCCTGCGTTTCTCTGCCAGGTCTCTCCAAAGCGGCCCGAGTCGGTCACCTGAAGGCCGTCCTCAGTATGGCTTTCTTTGAGATGTGTGGAGCCACGTCTGAGGACATCATCTACATCACTCTGCCTCTGTACCACATGTCTGCTTGCCTGCTGGGGATCGGAGGATGCATACAGCTCGGTGAGAAAAAGCTTTTTTGCCTTAAAAACAAAAACACAATTCCTGGAAGAATGTTGTTTTGTTTTCAGTTCATTGTGAGGCTCAAAGCTGGAGGAAACAACATGACGACGGACATCCTTTTTATTGGACTAGAAGGAATTCTCACTTCCTCACAAACAAAGCAGGGGAACATTCTTTTATTTTGAAGTAAAACATCTGTATGGAGTTTTGTTTTTGTGTGATTTAACAGACAATACAACATTTTTTCACATTTCCTGGTGTTGGTTTTCTTATTACAGGAAATTGCACTACTACCCCTCTTTTGTTTCATATAAGAAAACAAAGAGAATCCCCCCACCCTCTGAAGAACTGGAAAATTGGTTGTATGGCGTTTTTACACTACAGTACAATCTTATACATCTTCTCTGTCTCTCTTTTGGGTCTCAGGTGCGACGTGTGTTTTAAAGAAGAAGTTTTCAGCCAGTCAGTTTTGGAAGGACTGTGTGAAGCACGATGTGACGGTGGTGCAGTACATAGGAGAGCTCTGTAGATACCTCTACAACCATCCCACAGTAAGAACGTTATAAATAACACTTTCTGATAACCTCTGACTACAGGTGAATGCACTGTGATTAGTTGAACAATTATCTTATTTACAGGGCGTGTTGTTGCACATCAGTGATGGCCTTTGTTGCAGCTTTTCATGACAAGCCAAAGGCACTTCAACACCTTACTGATTTTTCTAGTTTCAATGCCATATGGTAAAGGCCAACAGGGTGACGATCTGTATGTCGTTATGTCATTGTTTAGTTAAAGAAATGCTGCAGGAAAGCTTAGATTTGGACAAATGCTACAATAAAATCATTCGTAGATTTTTGTTATCCTGCTTATTATACTTTTCTAATGGAACTGAAATCCTAACGCAGCCCCTTACCTCTGGTTTGCATTGTTGCATTAACCCGTAAAGGACAGAACGTCATCAAAAGTGTTCTTTAAGGGGTATTGTTGCCCGTCATCAATGAATATCTACAGCACATGTTGATCAAAAACAGTCCGTCAGTAGATAGCCTTGTTGAAAGCTATTTTTTACTTTTACGTTCTGACTTTTTCCTCAAAATCCGGACTTTTTCTCAAAATCTCAAAATTATGCCTTTTTTTCTCAAAATCTCAAAATTATGACTTTTTTCTCAAAATCTCAAAATTATGACTTTTTTCTCAAAATCTCAAAATTATGATTTTTTTTCTCAAAATCTCAAAATTATGACTTTTTCCCTCAAAATTATGATTTTGTTCTCAAAATTATGACGTTTTTCTCAAAATCTAAAAATTATGACTTTCTCAAAATTATGACTTTTTTCTCAAAATTATGACTTTTTTCTCAAAATTATGATTTTTTTCTCAAAATTATGACTTTTCTCAAAATTATGACTTTTTTCTCAAAATTATGACTTTTAAAAAAAAATCTCACAAATCAGATTTTTTCTCAAAATTATGACTTTTTTTCTCAAAATCTCAAAATTATGACTTTTTTTCTCAAAATCTCAAAATTATGACTTTTTTCCTCAAAATTATGATTTTTTTCTCAAAATTATGACGTTTTTCTAAAAATCTCAAAATTATGACACTTTTTCAAAAAATCTCACAAATCAGATTTTTTCTCAAAATTATGACTTCTTCTCAAAATCAAAAAATTCTGACTTTTCTGAATGTCAATAATCCCTCGTCTCCGGCTTGAGCTTCAATCTCAGGATCCATGTATTTGTGATCCTCTCCAGAATGGAAGTAGTCATCACATACAGAGCATCAACTAGTTCCTGAACAGTGTCCTTCACCATGCTGATATCCAAGAGAGGGAGTTACACAGTCACAAGATGGAGGAATAGAAAGCAGTATTCAATGTTTACTTCAGATTAGCTCCACGTCAGAAATGATCATGCTTGTCATATGTCTATCTCCATAGAGGCTGAATCATCATGTTAATCACATAGCTATCATATGCCTCAAACAGTCCTGATGCTCTTCTAGGTAATCATACATCCTGTCATGTACACAGCTACAGTTGGGATACCTTTGTTATCATGTTACTCTCATATTGGAAGAGTACATTCAGAATTTTCCCAACAATAAGCATTATGCCCACAAAAATAGGTCTGATCCCTTAAAAAGTTAAGTGCCTCCAGGTCCCAGAGGAGAGGGCTCACCGCGTCCGGCTGGCAGCAGGAAGTGGTCTCCGCTCAGACATTTGGAGGCAGTTTTTGCAGCGTTTCGGCAGCAGGATAAAGATCAGAGAAGGTTACGGCCTGACGGAGGCTGGCATCGGCTTCCTGAACTACACCGAGGAGGTCGGACCCATCGGCAGGGCGGGCTATTTCAACAAGGTCAGGAACAACAGCGGTAGAAATGTTTCCTCTGGACCCTATCACACTGACCTGCTTTATATGTTGTGTTTGTGGTGAAGCGACCCTTTTTAAATAGCTGATTTGAGGTATTGGAAACACCTTATCCCCATTTTAAAATCAGAAAGAGACCAATTAACTGAGGAAGTATGGCAAAAATACCCTTTTTTAAATGTCATTTTCCCCTTTAGTAGAAATGTAATTAGATTAGTTTGTTTTATCTCAGTTTGTAAGAAGGAGGCCCATGTTATTGCTTGCCCGGGTGACCTAATTATGATGCACCAGCAGATGTTATTCACGTGGCTTGAAAGTAGAATTTTCTATAGCAACATTTTAGCAGGTTATGGCTCTTGAGAGGAAATGCTTAATAAGCACCGTAACTTACAGGGTCTGCATTTTTCACTTATACAGGACGGAACTGATTGGTAACAAAGTGGATGAGAGCGTACACTTATGGGCCATAAAACCAAACTATGAGCTGTGAATCTGAAAATAATCCGACTTGGGGTTCATTTATTATGCAAAGTTACAGAATTTTACTTCATTATCAATATATTAAATACTGAATACATTGAAATCTATTTGCTACACACTCAATTGTGTCCAAAATGCTGTGAATGGCCTTGTTCTCATCTCAAGTAGATGCAAAATGTATTATTGATGAATATGAGAGATACAACAGAGATACAATTAAAGGGGAACACAACTAAAAATAGGGAATTTGAGTGATAAACATCTAAAATGTAAAAAAAGGCAGCATTGCGTGGGACAGTATAATCCATGTAGATAGTATAAGACTAAATGTACAATATACCAACTGTGCAGACTGTATATATATCAAACAATGTTGATTATTCAGACCATATCTCATTAAGTCACATCTCTTTTCTTTCCTCTCCAGCTGTCCATGCCCTTTGAGCTCCTCAGACACGACCCAGTGTCCTACGAGGCGGTCCGGACCCCCGCTGGGAGATGCATACGAGCACAGAAAGGTAAAACAATCAAACATGTAGTCCTTTAAACTGACAGCTGTATGTCACTGAACGATCATGTGACCTTTTATATTGTTGCATCGATTCAGTTGTCTTGTGTTTTATCTTTCGGAGAGAAATCATGAATTATTTGATCATACCTTTTACCTCCTTGTGTCTCTTAACCTGTATACCATGTATCTGTAAAGTTCTTAACATCTGATCTGAGGGGAATTTCTTGTTGTTTATTTTTATCTTGTGATGTGTCGCCATTTTGTAAAGCACTTTGAGCTGCACGTGCTGTATGAAAAGCAGAGGTGGGAAGTAGTGGAGTACAAATACTTACTCTGGTATCAGTACTTTACTCCACTACTTATTTTTCTGACGACTTTTTACTTTGACTTCTTACATGTTGAACACAAATACCTGTACTTTCTACTTCTTACATGTTGAACACAAATACCTGTACTTTCTACTTCTTACATGTTGAACACAAATACCTGTACTTTCTACTTCTTACATGTTGAACACAAATACCTGTACTTTCTACTTCTTACATTTTGAACACAAATACCTGTACTTTCTACTTCTTACATTTTGAACACAAATACCTGTACTTTCTACTTCTTACATTTTGAACACAAATACCTGTACTTTCTACTTCTTACATGTTGAACACAAATACCTGTACTTTCTACTTCTTACATGTTGAACACAAATACCTGTACTTTCTACTTCTTACATTTTGAACCCAAATACCTGTACTTTCTACTTCTTACATTTTGAACACAAATACCTGTACTTTCTACTTCTTACATTTTGAACACAAATACCTGTACTTTCTACTTCTTACATGTTGAACACAAATACCTGTACTTTCTACTTCTTACATGTTGGAACACAAATACCTGTACTTTCTACTTCTTACATTTTGAACCCAAATACCTGTACTTTCTACTTCTTACATTTTGAACACAAATACCTGTACTTTCTACTTCTTACATGTTGAACACAAATACCTGTGCTTTCTACTTCTTACATTTTGAACCCAAATACCTGTACTTTCTACTTCTTACATGTTGAACACAAATACCTGTACTTTCTACTTCTTACATGTTGAACACAAATACCTGTACTTTCTACTTCTTACATTTTGAACACAAATACCTGTACTTTCTACTTCTTACATTTTGAACACAAATACCTGTACTTTCTACTTCTTACATGTTGAACACAAATACCTGTACTTTCTACTTCTTACATTTTGAACCCAAATACCTGTACTTTCTACTTCTTACATGTTGAACACAAATACCTGTACTTTCTACTTCTCACATGTTGAACACAAATACCTGTACTTTCTACTTCTTACATGTTGAACACAAATACCTGTACTTTCTACTTCTTACATTTTGAACCCAAATACCTGTACTTTCTACTTCTTACATTTTGAACCCAAATACCTGTACTTTCTACTTCTTACATTTTGAACACAAATACCTGTACTTTCTACTTCTTACATGTTGAACACAAATACCTGTACTTTCTACTTCTTACATGTTGAACACAAATACCTGTACTTTCTACTTCTTACATTTTGAACTCAAATACCTGTACTTTCTACTTCTTACATTTTGAACACAAATACCTGTACTTTCTACTTCTTACATTTTGAACACAAATACCTGTACTTTCTACTTCTTACATTTTGAACACAAATACCTGTACTTTCTACTTCTTACATTTTCCAAACAGGCTGGTTCCTTTAGTTTGAATGTGTGTTTGGTGGCGTGATCATTATTATTTAGAGTCATTGCGTGCCTATTGATTTGAACACGATCTGTGTATCCATCATTTCCTGGTCTTCTCTAAAGAAGAGGGACCAATGAAAACGTTGTCATGTTGCCGTTGTTCAGCATGGAAACATTCATTAGCTAACAATGACATTATTGTTCTATTAATATAAAGGGAGGTCAGGTACTCTTTAAAACAGATGGTAGTTATGGGTACTTTTTACTGAAGTACATTTCAAAGCCCTCTTTACTTTGACTTGAGTAAAGAAGTTTAGTCAGTACTTCTACTTTTACCAGAGTATTTTTAAACACGAGTATCTGTACTTCTACTTGAGTAAAGGATGTGTGTACTTCTACCCTCTCCACAGGGGAGGCAGGGATCCTGGTGGCTCCGCTCTCAGCCATGAATCAGTTCCTGGGGTACGCAGGGAGCCAGGTGCAGTCGGAGAAGAAGCTGCTCAGAGGCGTCTTTAAAGATGGCGACGTCTTCTTCAACACTGGAGACCTCCTGCTGCACGACGACCAGGACTTCCTGTACTTCAGGGACCGAATTGGAGACACCTTCAGGTACCGTTTACATTCAATTCAATTCAATTCAAGGCTTCATTGTCATGTGCACAGTAGCTACAGTGTAGATATGGCAATGAAAAACTTACTTTTTGCTTGTTGTATGCTTTGTACGTTTTATTTAATTTGTTTGTGTCTATTATGAGAACGTGTATACTTATCACTCATGCTGGGGTGGGGGTGGGGGGTATATTTGATGTGCTTTATGGCAGTCTGGTTGAAATGTGCACTGTTTCATCTACAGTATGTATTTCACTGCTCAATGACATTCTGTATGATTTTAGTGTTAAAAAAAACACTAAGGCTAAGGCAGGGGTGTCCAAACTACGGCCCGGGGGCCAAATGCGGCCCGCGGGACATTTTGAATCGGCCCTCAGCTAATTAAAAAAGTATAATGAAATATGGCCCACAAATTAAACTTGAGCTTTTCTTGTATTGTATTTATTAAATATATCTGTAAACATATACATATACACAGTAGTGTTCATGTGTTAATAAGCCCAATTTACAATAAATTCAGTCAACTACATTTGAAAATATGTTCTAATAAAAATCTAAGTCGATAAGAAAAAAGCCCAATAACTTATATACATAACAGACTTGAAATGTACCCTTCCTATTTCCTCTTATGATAATCAATCTGGGGCTCCTGTTGTAAGGAATGAGCTGCTAACAAATTAAATGAAACCCTCTGGAGAGCTGTGATGTAGGCTGTTTATTTTTCTTAAAGCAGATTCAAGCATAATTTACCTACTTTGGATTGATTTTGCTGACTTAAAACGTAACATATGAGGCAGTATTCCTCACCTCTATTGAGCGGCCCGGCCCTTCGAATATTTTTCTGTATGTGGCCCTTGGTGAAAAACGTTTTGACACCAAGGCATTGTAAATAAGCGACTCACATTGTTCTGTTCACACAGCTTGTTTCTCCTGCCCTCAAGTGGCCACAGACAGTTATTGCAGGTTTAACTGGATCTACTCTCTTGTCCTGCAGGTGGAAAGGAGAGAATGTTTCCACCACTGAGGTTTCAGAGGCTGTGGGTCTGCTCGACTTCATCCAGGAGGCCAACATCTACGGAGTCACCATACCAGGTGTGTGGAAGTGTTTACTGGTTATAACTTCTGCATAATATACAGATATAACCATCAGCTTCATTAGCAAACCATGTATGTGTTATAACCATATGGAGCACAGCCAACACAAGAGGCAGCTCCCAGTGAGACCATTACCGGGTTGAATCGGATATTTTGCTATAACTTCCCAACACAAAAACTCCAGACTAGATGTCTTCAGATTTGAAGGAATAGGTTCAACAACCACCAAATATTTTTGACGCAGCTCTGCCAGTTTAGTTGACTGACTGACTGACTTTTCCTCGATAGCAGTGCCAGCTAAGGCTCATTGGTATTGCACTAAATAAAACCACTCCCCATACCAAGCAGTTAAACAATCCTGGTTTCTCATAATCAAAGTTGATGAAATTAAAATGACATTAACATAAGCCTGTAGCAAGGAGACCACTGTTACTATCTTGAGAAACATTTAATAAGACATCATCAAAAGTATAACCACCACTTTAGGGGCAACCAGCACTTCCACTTTAATAATAATAATAAATGTATTTTGTAAGTGCTTTTACAGGTGCTCAAAGTCGCAAAAAGGGACAACAGATACATATAGTAAATGGACTGTACTTATATAGCGCTTTATCCAGTCTTTACGACCCCTCAAAGCGCTTTACATACTACATGTCATTCACCCATTCACACCCATTCATACAGAGCAGTGTACCTTACTCTAGGAACTAACATTCATACACATTCACACACCGTTGGCCATCGGGAGCAACTCAGGGTTCAGTATCTTGCCCAAGGATACATCGACATGTTGACTGCACGGGCTGGGATCGAACCCACAACCTTCTGGTTGAAAGACGACCGCACTCCCTCGCAGCCACAGTCGCATTAAAATCGAGCAATAAAACAACAATCACACATTAAGAGCCAGTTTGAAGAGTTTTTGTACGTTTGTTTGAAGGTGGTGAGGACTTTGTAATACTAAAGTTTGCTCTTGTTAATTGAGTACAGTTTTTTCTATGTAACAGTATAATAAGAGACTCTTTCCAATGTGTGTTTGCAGGAAATGAAGGTCGGGCAGGTATGGCTGCTATCGTCTTGCAACAGGATCACAAATTAAATGGATCAGAACTCTACGACCATTTAGTAAAAACTCTTCCTGCCTATGCCTGGCCGAGGTTTCTCAGAATACAGGTAGGTCACGCATGTATTCATTACCTCATTTTGTGTATTTTAAATGTAAAGTAATATCGTTAATTGCACACACTAGTCTGTGTTTGATATGGCGTGTGTGTTACATGTTGGGATTATGGATGTTGCCTCTAGTTTCTGTTATGTGATTGTGATGTGCTATATGTGACATTTTCTTCAGACGTCCTTGGATGTGACGGAGACGTTCAAGCAGCAGAAGGTGAAGCTGGTCACGGAGGGCTTCGATCCGGACGTCACCCACGATCTGCTGTACTTCTTAGACGTTCCTCAGAAAGATTACACCCTCCTGACTGTGTCTCTGTATCAGGACATTGTGAATGGGAAGATCAAAGTATGAACACTATAGGACGTTAGAAGTTATAATCCAGGTTGTTGCCATGTTTGCGTTTGTCTGTATGTGAAATGTGGTTATAATCAGTCCCACAGACAGAGCTGTTATTCATATTTGAAAGATTAGTTACTTACTCACTGTGAACCAGCCAGAGCCTTTATTTACCTCAACATTTCAAGTGCTACTGTTCTAAGTTTTTACACTTGATTCAAACCACACACTTACTCAACGTTTACATCTTGATAAGTTAAGTGCCATTTACACCTAAACTCCACTATTCATGACATTCCCGCCTGTTATTTTTTACTTACTTTTACTCTTACTTTCTCTTCTTTTCTGTATCACTAGTTGGTTACTATAGACGTATGTTGAAACTGAATTTGACGGCCATTCTTATGGAAATGAGGGTTTGCGAATAGGATTACATTAAATTAAACGAAACGTAGGTGGGTCTTCAGTTTGAGACGGACGATATGTAGACTCTCTGCTGTCCTGAAATCAGTGAGAAGCTCCTTCCACCATTTGGGAGACAGGCAAAAGGGTGTCTCTTTTGGGGTGTACCTGGTTCCACTTCGCCGATTTGCTGATGCAGAGCGAAGTGCACGTGCTGTAGTGTATGTTTTGACCATGTCTTGGATGTAGGATGGACCAGATCCCTTTACAGCTTGGTAGACCAGTACACGTGTCTTGAAGCGTATTCTGGCAGCCAGTGAAAGGAGCGAAGGTGAGGTGTAATGTGGGAGAACTTGGAGGGCTTGAAGACCAGTAACGCTGCTGCATTTTGAATTAACTGTAGAGGTCGGATGGCATTTGCAGGTAGACCAGCCAGGAGGGAGTTGCAGTAAAGCGTGAGATGAGAAGACCCTGGACCAGGACCTGTGTTTTAAGATATTGAATAGCACTTTCTAGACAAAACAAAGGGCATTCCTTTAGATACAACGTCGGGCATTATGTAAAAAAAACACTTTTCACATTGTGTCAGATGATGTCACATATGGGAGTGGCTTTTCCCTTTCACGCCGTGACATTTGAGCCCATTATGCCTCTATGTGTTATGTATTTACAGTTTCAACACTATATGTATTGTTATTAAACACCTGATATATGTATAGCTGTGGAAGCAGACATTGCACTGTGAGCTTTTAGAGGACCAGTTATTCCTCCTTACCCCCTCAGTGTTTGTTGGCTGACTGTCTTAAAGTAATCATTCATTATGGTCATGTCCGTTTTTCAAATGACTTTTTTGTTTTGTGCAGACTTTTATTTGAGAATATTATGTGACTTCCTTTCAATGCTTGTTGGAAATCAGGTTTTCTTAAAAGAATGGGACGGATACATCTATATTTCCTATGTATAAATACACCTGATAAATCAAAAATATAGCCTAACTGCTGTCTTCACATTTCTGAACTGAATATTAAACTCACTGTAAAAACACCAAATGTGTATTCCTACTCTCTGTTGCTTCTATACTTTTACTCAAGTACAAGATCTGAGTACTTCTTAGGTCACATGTTTCTCAACAATGCAATATAAATAATATATACAAGACAAAAACAAATAACTAAAAACAACAAAAATAAAACTAGTGCAAGCTGAGGAGTTTAGCAGTCTTATGGCCCAGTATCTGAGGTGGTAAATAATGTTTTAAAACTATTCAAAGCAGATATAATACAAAGTAAATAGCATTGTGAATGTTTCTTGCATGGTCACGTGATTTCATTGTGGTCCGGGCGCTCGCGGTAGTGGGAGGAGTTACGGTCGAGCAGACGTGGCAACACATGACGTCATCAAAGAGGGTCGCTGGGTTGTTCATAGGTGTTGTGTTGAGCTATTCCAGCTAGCAGGTGAGTGGGTCAAATTGCTTGTTCTGTAAGATAAAAACGACACATAATATTTACTAATTCCTGTTAAAATGCCACGTGTTTCTATATTTTTCTACATGCAGATCTGAGTTGTGTTTGTACACGTGGAACATTTCTGTTGCAGGAAGCTAACATTGAATTCAGTTCAACCATGTTCCTGTCATTTATGGCACATATATCACCATCATTAGATAAGACTGCTCATATAATAATGTTGCATTAACCCTGTACTTGAAACCAGAGGTGGGAGAAGTACTCAGATCTTGTACTTGAGTAAAAGTAGAAGTACCAGAGTGTAGGAATACTCTGTTACAGTAAAAGTCCTGCATTCAAAATGTTCCTCAAGTAAAAGTAGAAAAGTATTATCATCAAAATATAGTTAAAGTAGCGACAGTAAAAGTATTCATTGTGCAGATTGGTCCATTTCAGAATAATATATATGATATGTTTTATAATGATTGATCATGAAAGTGTTCTCAAAGCTGGTAAAGGTGCAGCTAGTTTGAATGACTTTGTATACTGCAGGGTAGCTTGTGAATTTACTCCAGGTGGAACTAAAGTCTGATTTAACACTTGATTATATTTCACATCATTAATCCACATCTGTAAAGTAACTAAAGGTATTAAGTACATGTAGTGGAGTAAAAGTAAACCATTTACCTCTGAACTGTAGTGGAGTAGAAGAACAAGTACCTCAACATTGTACTTAAGTATAGTACTTGAGTAAATGTACTTAGTATCTGAAGCAGAGAGAGCTGGGTGTTATGTTATCATGGTACGATGAAAACTACATTCAACTACGACCACCGAAGTTTAACATGGGATCATTTCATTAAACTAGGATTTATTGTCACATGCACTAAATCTACAGCTTGAAATAATGTACCAGGCTCCTCCAACAACACAACATACAATATATCTAAGACACAAAGAAAATAAATAGTGCAAACGACATAAAGGTGAAATAAAGTAGTTGAATCCTCAGTGTTTGTATGCAGGCATTACCATTGAGTCAGCTGAACAACAAGATGAACACAAACACAAACAATCTCTAGCACTATTGTATCTGTTTTATTTGTCCTATATATATTCTCGTTGCTCTGTTGGAGGAGCCTGTCACCTAAGTTGTTCATTGATATATCTAAACTGTAGCTAATGTGCACCTGACAATGAAGCCTTGAAACTTGAAACACCCCCTGATTCACCTGCTGTTTTCTCTCAGGTATAAAGCAGAGAAGATGATGGAAGAAAGTGGGATCGAGACGACGCCTCCTGCCAGCCCCACTCCTCCGCTCAATGATCCTGCCTCTGCCAGCGCCCCCCCGATGTCCGTCGGTAAGACATTATCTATCAACTGATGCTATACGACGAGCAAACCTGATGTTCTCGTATTTCTCAGCACTGCTCCCTGAACTCGCCTCCTATTAAAAGTTCTCTTATCAGAAGAAAGTGAATGTGAATTCAGTGTGAATGTGGAGCTAAAGCGATGTCCAGACATTAAAGGTAGGGTAGGTAATTTTGGAGAAACCAGCTCGAGATCGCTAGAATTTGAAAATACACAACCGGAGAAAATCTGCCACTTCCTTACAGAGCCCCTCCTTCAACACACACGAGTTTGTGCACCGATGGAAGGCTGACAGGCAGGTAGGCCATCCAGTTATTTTAGCCGGGCCGGCTCAAATGATTGGTCGTGCTTTTTACAGTACTACGGCTTCCACAGATGACATTTTTTTATGGATTTTTCGTCAAAGCACTTAAGATATTCATTGCTATCAGGATGTTAAGAGCATTCCATGGAATATAACAAGTGTATCTCGAGCCGGTTTCTCAAACTTACCTACCCCACCTTTAACCAGTTCAAGAGGAAATACAGAGAAATTATTTTCTCGAGGTACAGGGATGGGGAAGGTGTTTGACTGTGTATATGTGTGTATGTGTATATGTGTGAGTATGTAGATATGTATATGTGCATATATGTGTATGTGTGTGTATGTATGTGTGTGTATGTATGTGTGTATGTACATATGTGTATATGTATATATCTCAATCAACAGGTAAAGCAGATTAATAATAATAATAACAATAATAATGATAATTATTGCAGATTATAGATTATAAATAAATCATTTAGGGACAAGGGGGTGAGATTAAATAAGTTATACTTCTTCTCACTCCTTTTCGAACACTAGATGTGAGACTGTTTATGTTGCTAATGCTGTTGTTGTTGTTGTAAATGTCATTTTTTGTTTTGATTTCTCTTACATGACTATGCACTGCAACATTTATTTTGTTTTGTAATTATTTATGTGACTTGTTCGAAATAAAATGTATCAATCAAAAGTCTTGATGTAATGACGATAGAATGAGAAATCAAAGATCCTTCATATCCGTCAAACTCAATTTCATCACGGGCCACATCAGCATTATGGTTGCACTCAAAGGGCCGGTTGTAACTTTAAGACTATATAAATATACATATAATATGTATAAAATAATATATTATATTACATTACTGCATTTGATTGGAGAAAAACAGGTCTCTTTTCACACCTGCACAGCTCTCCACTTTGAATATAGTATACTATAGTATTCGTCCGTTTCTCACATCTTTATATTGTGTGTAAATAATTTCCTTTGTGTGTTAACCTACTTGGTAATAAAACCGATTGTGATTTAACATAATTCGTTATATTTCAGGTCTGTCCACCACCACCTTCTCCCCCCATCTCCCCCCTGTTTCCTCCCTCTCTTCCTTCAGCAGCCCCATGGCGGCTCACCCCTCTCTTTCCTCCCCGTTCCCCCCTCCCTCCACACTTTCCTCTCCTTATACAAGCAACTCTCCATTTCCTCCCCTCTCCTCTCCATCTCCATCTTTTCCTCCCCCCCTCTCCTCCCCCATGGCTCCGCCTCCTCCCCTCGCGGCTCCTCCCCCTATGGGTCCGCCTCTCTCAAACTACTCCATGAGCGCAGGATATGACATCACTCGGGGTCACGCAGGGAGAACGCCACAAACACCGCTGATGCCCACATTCTCCAGTTCCAACGCCATGCCAGGTGAGAGAGAGAGACACACACACACACACACACACACACACACACACACACACACACACACACACACACACAGACCTATTACCTGTGTGTCTGATGTTGTGAACCACATTATCAAGTCAAAGTTATTAATTTTTCTTATTGTATTTACTCCATTTCATTAAATAATTAATCTTGAATGAGAACTCTAAAGAAGGCAACCATTTCCAATGTGAATAAAGTAAATACTTATTTGAAGAATGTGGAGGTAAGGCAAGCTCAGTAGTTTCATTACCATCCAGACACCCAGTATGTCGGTGTGTGTGTGGGCATTAAACATAAAACAAGCTAATATAGAATAACACAGGTATAACATACATGAATGAAAGTTACAGTGCAGTGTGAGATATGTATAGTTAAGCGGTAAAAATAAAAGTCTTCAGCCTGGATTTAAAAGTAGTCAGAGTTGCATTGGACCTGCAGGTTTCTGGGAGTTTGTTCCAGATATTTGGAGCATGTTTTGTGCTTGAAGCATGGCTCCATGAAGCCCCAGAGTACTGTAAATGTGCTTCCAAAAGTCATACTAATAACATTATCCTCCAGGTATGGGTCCGAACCCCATGGTCCAGCAGCCCCTGATGATGGGGGGAGTCGACGGATCTCCCATCACCTTCCCCGAGGAGCAGGAGGACCCCAGAGCGCCGAGCCAGGCCAACGCTGGGGGGGGAATCTGGGGCTTCTTCAGGGTAAGACCTCCATGATCGAATGTGGTCGTGACACAACATCAATGCCCTCTTCAGAAACATTATAATAAAAACCAGAGTGTAGGAATACGCTGTTACAAGTAAAGGTACTGCAATCAAAATGTTACTCAATTAAAGTTGAAAGTATTAGCATCAACATATTGCAGAGATATTATAATAAATACATAAATAAGGTTGCCGACTTCATCTGTAAAAGTGGGACAGTATGTATATTAGGGATTGCCATTTCTATCAAGACCTATTCAACCATTATTCAAACACACACACTTCTGCTAGGTTCTTCGTTCTCTAATGTAGGCCTTAACACTTTAAATGAAGTATTATAAATTAAGTTATTTTATTAGTGTCACTGGGTAGGTAATTTTGGAGAAACCAGCTCGAGTGCGCTAGAATTTGAAAATACACAGCCGGAACAAATCTGCCACTTCCTTACAGAGCCCCTCCTCCAACACACACGAACGCGCACATGACCAATGAGGGCACGAGATAAGTTTGTGCACAGAAAGTGAGCATATATTGCACACGAGGAGTGGTATTGCACAAAGTTTTATATTTACAGACAGTGTTGTTGCACTTCAGAGATATTACATTCTTTCTGTTTTGACATTGTGTGTGTGTGTGTGTGTGTGTGTGTGTGTGTGTGTGTGTGTCTGTTTTGTGTGTCCTCTTAGGGAGTAGCAGGTAACCCGGTCGTAAAGAACGTCCTGGACAGAACCAAGCACTCAGTGGAGTCCATGATCACCACTCTGGACCCGGGCATGGCTCCCTACATCAGTGAGTCCTTCTCAGACCTCATCCCTACATCACCACATCACGTGACACACTGACTTTATGAATGTGTGTGTGTGTTGTTGCTATGCAGAGTCTGGCGGGGACATCGACATCGTGGTGACTTCAGATAAGGAGCTGCACGTGGAGGCGGTCAGAGACGCCTTTCAGGAGGTTTTTGGGATGGCGCTGGTCACCGGAGAGCCCGGTCAGTCCAACATCGCCCCGCAGCCCGTGGGATACGCAGCCGGAGTTAAGGTCGGTTCAACTCTGCCTCTCCACCCTGCTGGTTCAACAAATAAAAACAGTTCTGTACAAACTAACAGAGAAGTAGAACTACAGGATCAGGTTTCATCATACTTTTCCTTGAGTGTTTTTCCACCTTTTTTGAGCCCTGGTACATTTTTTACATTCCAATAATCCTGCAGCACACCAACAACCTAACAAAATGACACATTGTGACCCTAATACAGCGTACATAATGACAGTTTCATGACAAGTGTCTCTATTTGGCGACAAGTTCACTTCCTAAGTAGCTGATCTGAGATCTCTCTACGACACCTTTGTGGTTTTTCTCTTAAAAGTCACAAGTGTCTCAGTTTGTTTACTCAGGCAAACACAATAGTCCGTGTTCTTGTTTTGAAGTGACGGAAGGTGTTACTTTTGGAGATAACGTTTAAGCTCGCATGCGACCATGGCACCATTGGATAGCCACACATCAAGCATAACAAAGTCAGTGCACTCGGATCCCCAGGAAAAGATCACTTTTGCTGTGTTGCCTCGAGCTAGAATTTTGTCCGTGACCCAGATCATAGTCTGCAATTTCCCTTTTCAAATATTTACCCGATCCGGCTACGATCTCTCATGTGTGTGTGTTTGTGTGTGTGTGCAGGGGGCTCAGGAGCGCATAGACAGCCTGCGTCGAGCCGGTGTGATCCACGAGAAGCAGCCCGTCGTCTCTCTGGAAAACTTCATCGCTGAGCTCTTCCCCGACCGGTAAGAGAGAAGATCTCTGAAACATGGAGGGCCTCTTTATATCTCACAGTGTGTAAGATATATAAACGCTGATGGGAGAAGAGTTTCAATTCAATAATGCAATAAAGTATGTTGATAACTGAGGATAGTTTGGAGTGATATATACTGAATCACCTGCTGTTCAGTTTCATTCCTTACTGAGTGCAATAGAGTTGTAGTTGACAAATACTCCTCCCTGCTATAAATACTTCTGTCTGCAGGTGGTTTGATATCGGATGTTTGATCCTGGAGGACCCGGGTCACAGCATCCGCATCGAGGTCTTCACTCAGACCACTCCTCTGGCTCTGGATCACATCCAACAGGTACACATCTGCCACTGTACAACGTTTACATTCAATACTCTTTCATCCATGACATCAATCCATTTTGTATCTATACCCCCTTATCCTGTGGGGTCTGTTTGGAGAGAGAAATAATGATAAGAGTTTCCTAGGTTCTGGCATCGTGCATCCATTAGTGCCACTGATCCCACTCCTCTAGATTACCTCTACTATGTACTGTTTTGTAGAGAGTAGACATTTTTGATTTTGGATTAGTTGAAAGCAGTGGAGTCCAGAAAAAACAGTTTTTAACCACTGTGGTTGCAGCATAGTTGATCCGCCTTCGAAACTTTATTAACTTCACTGGCTGCCTGTCAAATACCGTATAGATTATAAGATTCTGCTACTCACCTTTAAGGTGTTCCTGTTAGTGTTTACTTCCTATCTGCCTTCTTCTGGTGATTTATCTGACGTCCAGCGCTCTTTCTTGATCCTCCTTAGCAACGGTCAATATAGTCCAGTCTGTACTACTGGATTAATAACGTGTCACATGACTTGAATTGACCAATCAGAATCGAGTATACAACTAAGCTGTGTAATAATTATTATTAAATGTCACTCGCCTACTAACCTCCATTAACTCATCAAGCTGTTTCTCTGACCTCCCCCCCCTGTTTAGGCCCAGTCCCTGACCCCCCCCGACTACAGCCTGCGTTGGTCAGGTCTGATCGCCACAGTGGGCGAGGTGTTGGAGCGCAGCCTGCCCAACATCAACCGGACTGACTGGCATCAGGCCATGACGGGCATGACGCAGCGCCAGATGATCCACAGCGCTGCCAAAGCTCTGGCTGGGATCTACAAACAGCAGCTGCCCCCCCGGACTGTGTGAGGCTCTCAAACTAACACGGGGCGCAGGTGGACACACTGGGAGGAAAATCTGGCTGATGGGACAGCAGAGGATAATCGTACATCCCCAAAAAGCCCAAATGCACACCTGTTTTTTAAAGATGTCGATGCCCACAGATGATTACTGACATTCCAATATCAGCAGGATTTCACTGATCAGATCTCAAGTGAGGCGTTAACTAATCATCTCATCCTCCTTTAAACGTATTTACACATCCTGCATATTGATACCAACAAACGAAACGCATAAAGTGGTGCAGGAATGAGTCGTTAAATCAGAAATGAGTTAGCATAATTACGTTTTTTCAAATTGTGTTTTAGGGTTAGACGCCTGATATGAACTTAGAATATGTAAGTAAATGTCATCACTTCACGACTCTATTATACTCTTTATATACAGTTTTGATCATCGTTATTGTAGGGATTATTCCATGCACTGTGTCCCAGTCGTAGGACATATCCAGTCAGCACCGATCCAAAGTCTACTCAAACTTACCTTATTTAAAAAGTATGCCAAAATGTGTCAGAGCAGACCTTAACACCCGAGAAGGATCTGACTATATACTGTAACACTGTCAAATCTGCTGTGTACTCAGATTGGCCGTGCTCTATTGTAGAAGTTCCTTTTTAAAGAAACTAATGTACTGTTTTTGTAGAAACAGTGAATTACTCAAGGTGTCTCCTGACACTATCGCCAATTTCACATTTAAAAACCTTAACTAGCGGGTATAAAATGTGCCAATGATCTTATTTTGTGTGCATTTCTTGCTTTCTGATCTAGACTACGATCCGTCCACTTTTTTATTTTGATTTGTTCAAGCTGTAAATAAACCCTTTCTTATTTTGCAAATTGCCCATCGACCGTGGGGTAGCTTGGCACCTGTTCACCCACCCTTGCTATTCGTATGCTTTCCAAATGTGTGTGGTATTTTGATGGAACTAAAGTCATTTAACATGTAACTAATAACTTATTTTAGTGTCAAAATGAGATTTTAACATCGGATAATGAAGCAGTACCCACCTAAAGGCCTTTATTGGTTTTCATATAGCTTAATTCCCATATTTTCATGAAATTAAAATCACCTTAAGTCATTTGCCAAACAGTAAACCCAGGGTCTGAGACTGTCTCCAGTAAAAACCCTTTAAAGCTGACTTGATAAGAAGCCATTGAGCTGAAACTGTTCTGAAGCGTTTGTTCCTTTCAAAATGTGGATCTTTACTGAATAACCTTGTATAAAACAATTCGAATTTGTGTCAAACTATGATAAATAATGAGTGCGAATTGTAATATGCTGCTAACCCTGCCATAGACTGTAAGCAGTGGACATAGTCATAATAATGATAAGCCCTTTGAAGCCTGGAGTTTGTCATATTCTGCATTTTCATCTTGTTTTTTGGCACCAGAAGTGACCATATTTGGATAAGAGTGTAGAGTACGGAAATTATTTGCATTGCAACGCCTCTCTCCTGATTGACAGGTCACTATGGTAGCGACCTGTCAATCACAAAGAAGTTGAGTTTACGTCCACTTCTGTAACAGTTTGCTCACGTCGACATTTTGTTCAGTAATGGTGAAATCTGTGTTATGTTGACCCTTAAAAATCGTCATTTACTGGAAAAATAAGACTTTTATTGATATTTAAAAATGTCAACACATGGGTGGTAGAATTGTATTATTGTTTTTATCGTTTTTTGTGTCTTTAAATTAATAATGACATCTCTTAAAAAAATATAACTTGCCAAATGGCTCTAGCATTTACATTGCTAATCCTGCTAAATTGGTCTTATTTGAATTAAAGGGCATTAAAGAAGTCTTAACCTGCCTTAAGCATTAGCAACCATTAACTTAAAAATCACTTTTAAACTGATTCAACACTTCAGTGTGCAGATTGATGATTTAGGCTTTGTTTGTGATCATGTGATCCGTGCAGAGCAAAGCACAACACCTTCTACACATCACTCTTTAGTCGAGCAGGATAAGTGCATGCTGGGTAGTTTGCAACTGGGACACAGCTAGATGTCATCATGAGTTTAATTTAAAACCCACAGTAACACATTCATTGATTCTTGCAACATGTGCACATCGTCACGGTCCTGCTGTCTGAATGCAGTCATTAAGTTAAATCACATTTGCAGCAGGACTCTAACAGTAACCAATTCATTCATTTATTTTTTTGCAGTATTGAAACAGCGTCACAAATGGAGGTAGAGTAAACTCTGCTGGTGAAGTTTGAGGGGAGAGACGTTCATCTGTGTACTGTGTCCCCTTTAATGTGCCTTTTGACAAAAATAAATCACTTTTTCACACGGTTTTGTCCCTGTCTCGGTGTAACAGGGTCCTAAATACAGTATATATGCTAAGTTGCTTAATTTTGTCACATTAAGTTATGAAGAAGTTGTTGTTTGTACCTGGTGAGATGTATTTTGTTTGTGGTGCAGAGGTAAAAAGGAAAATGTAGTAATAAGCAGACAATGGCTGAGTCCAACCAAATCTCAAACTTCACTCTGATGGTTCAATTCCTGGTATTAAATGAGAACAGTCCGATGTCTTGTCCTTTTTCCATAATGCTTTGGCGCAACAACTGTACACAATATTGTGATTTTTAGTTAATTGGTGAGAACACATGTTGCTTATAGTGGAGAGAAGAGGGGTTGAAGCAGCACTGATGATGGTCGTCAATCAATTGGATAAACTCTCGGACCCACTTTAAGTCCATCAGTGATGTCGTCGGTGAGGGAACTGAAGACACTGTTAGTCCTTGATGGGATTATTTTTCCTACTGCTGACAAAATTAAAAAAATTCCTACAAAATGCTCCAAGTGTTACATCCGGCCTCTATATGTCTCACATGTCTAAATAGAGACATTATGGGAAATGTCTGCACACTGCCACTGTTTAAAAGCTACTTTGTGACTATCACAATCATCAAAAATAGAATTAAAAGAATAATATAGGCAAAAGACGTCAAAGTATAATAATAAAGATATCTATTTTAACGCAAGAAGTGAAAGTAAAATATCCAATATAATATAAAAAATTTATATTTATAGAAACATACATTTAAAGTTAAAATGTGCACTCAGAATCAGAATGGCTTTTATTACCGTATTTATTTACATATACTAGGAATTTGCTTTGCTTGTATATTTGGACTGTGTGGATTTTGATTTCTGTGACATATATTAATATATAATGGATATGGTTCTGCAGCCTGCTCAAGTTGGGTATGTACTCTAACATTATGAACTCTAACATTATACATGAACAGTTAATCAGGGGAGATGATGAATGAAATCACTCTCTACTGATTACCTGCCAAACACTTTTCAAATCGTCAAAGTCTTTGTCATTTTATCTTGAAATAATAAGTTTAAAAATAAATGACGTTGAAATACGTTGCATCATTGATTCGTAAAAACACAAGGGCTCAAGTTTGGTGTGTAGGCATACTCTAACATTATGCATGAAAGTTGAATACTTTTCAAATCATTTACAGTACTTTCAATATATTTTCAAAGCCTTTTTCATTTTAATATGGAATAAAATACGTTTTCATAAGAAATGACATTGGAAATACGTTGCAATATGGATTTGTAAAGATGCAGGAAGTGCTCTTCCACACTAGTCTAACAACTCAATCATAATATTAGTGAATGCATTATGTTAAAAGTGTTGGACAGTACTTAAGTATTTACTCAAGTAATGTAGGCCTACTATAATCCTTTTTTAGGTACTTTTGGTATTGAGTATATAATACTACAATATACTGTATATAATCTAAAGTATCATGTACTTTTATGGATTAAGATGCTCACAAACATATCCAAAACTTCCTTTTGAGTCAGCTCATTCTTGTTTTTTATGATGGATGTTACTCCTAATGAAAGCAAATGTAAGAAAACTCTAAATGTGGCCTTCATAAAAAAAGCTGAACAATAGTTTTTTGTGTTTTTTTTAAGCTCTGTCCTAAATAAAAAACGTATTTGACCCTTCAACAGATCAAAAACAATTAGAGTCTGTATTATTTCTTTTACAGCTAGGTCATCGCCTTTATTCCTGTTCTATTCACTATCTTTTTTATATTAAACATGTTATTTCTTAATTTCTTGAAAGCTGTATCCACTCAAGTGAAGTAGTCCAACAATGAAACGGTTTCAGGACCAGCCGTTATTAGAAAAGTCAGGGAGCGCTCGTTTTCTTTAAACGGAGTCGCCCGCTCTAATCAAGATAAACAAAACATGGTGGAACTCGACTCCGCCTTCTCGAAGCCGTTTCGGGATACGCCGGTACTAGTAACAGGCGTACACAAAAGTTAACGTTGAAAGAACGCATTGCGTCGTGCAACGCCATTGGCTAGTGGTCAACGACGTCACATATTCAATGAGCCGCCATATTAGGAAGCCAAACCCCTCTTTCATACTGATTAGAAGAAAAGGAGACGGGATAATACAAGGAGAGTTTCACAAGGGCTGACCGGTTGGGTGACGAATACATCGTTTAACCTGCACTTGTCTTGTTGAAGTGTGGTTTATTGTTTTGGTCATTTATTTAGTCTTTTTTTACAATGGCGACCGCAGCTGCAACTCCTCCTCCGAGCATGAAGAGAAGCACGTGCGGCACTCCGCTAACTCCGACCCCGACCCGGATCAGCAGGCTTCAGGAGAAACAGCAGCTCCGGAACCTCAACGACCGCCTGGCCGTGTACATAGACAAGGTCCGCAGCCTGGAGTCTGAAAACAGCGTCCTCCATCTGCAAATAAACGAGACCGAGGAGGTGAGGAGTCGCGAGGTGACCGGTCTGAAAGCGCTGTACGAGACCGAACTAGCCGATGCCAGAAGGTGCCTGGATGATTCCTCCAAGGAGCGGGCCTGGCTGCAGATCGAGCTCGGGAAGATCAGATCTGACCATGAGCAGCTCGCGCACAAGTAAGCCTTTGTTTTAACACTTTAATCACAGCCAGATAAGTGCAGGAAGCAACTCTGGGTAATTAGCTAAAAGGCTAAATGCTGACTTGGATTTTTATTATCGTCATCTTGCAATATACACATTTATAAACATAGTTATTATCACCGCAATAAACCGTATTTAATTTTGTCTTAATTTACATTATTTAATTTCATATTCTGTTCTTGTACATATCATATTCTATTGACATGTATAGACTTTTAGCACTATTTATTTTGTATTTTGTATTTTATTATATATGTTGCATTGTTGGAGGAGCTCAGGTCAGCAGAATTTCATTGCCATTTCTACTCGGTAGCTTTGTGCATATGACAATACAACCTTTGAATTTGATTTTCGAGCCACTTCTGCAGCTCTACGTCAGCCAGTGTAACGCAGAGGTGTCCAAACTATGGTCCGTGGTCCATTGTTAATTCACCCTATGCTAATTCTAAAAGTATAATGGAATGTGGCCCTAACATGATCATAAACATGTGCTTTTCTTATATTGTACTTCTTAAATGTGTATGTAAACAGATAATACACAACAGTAGTATTCATTTGTCAATAAGCCCAATTATCAATTAAATTCAGTCAATTATAGTTGTTTTCTAATTTTCTTTAATGCTGCATTGAAGGTGGCATGGTGCCTTCAGGGTCCACTTGTTGTAGTAGCATCTGTTAACAAAGAAACAAATGTAGGTGAATAATTTAAGGTTTTTGGTGTTAAATGAAGAAAATAGAGTAAATGTGCTTCAGAAGTGTAGCCTATTTGACATCATCGTAATGCCACATTTAAAGGGATTACATATTGGGTAATACATGTAGTCATGTGTGCAAAAGCCCTCATGTATTTCTACACATGAAACGTGTGTGTGTGTGTTCCTATTCTGACAGCTGCCTCTGTTATAACAGCTGTCGCGCAAAAGTGCATGAATGGACAAAGTGACTGTTAACCCCTGAAAGTGTGGCGATTGAACTGCATTATCATAGACAAAATGCCTCTTAATTAATCAACTGTGCAATAAATTGTTAAAATATATGTTGGAAAGGTGCCGCTCCACCCCTTGTAAACTGCAGACAAATTGTCCGACACAGCTGTGTGTATTTTATGCTTCTTTTGTCTGGGTGCGAAACCAAATTATCAGAAAACTACTTTGATTTCACCAGAGTGTGAAAAACCACAGGTTGGTGGTGGGAATGTTTCCGAGGTCCACTGTTGGTGCTTAATAATTGCAGAAGAAGGACTCTTGTGTACCAAACCCAGACACATTAGTCCCAGAGTGTACCAAACCCAGACACACACTTACGACACACAAGTGGTGTTGAGTGTGAGGCGTCAGGTGTGGATCTGTGTGTTGAACAGAGGACCCACTGTGTGTCGCTCTGACGTCTCAACAGTTGGCTGTGACAGCCTGTTTGAGTCCGTTGGAAACATGAGTCCTTCATGTTGATTTCCACCACGTGTCTTGTAAATGGATGGTATAACTACATGCATTAAAGCTCCGGTATATTGGTCCACTTGCCAGCAGAATACTCCAAAGTTCTATGTTAAAAATGTATAGTATGGCACATAGAAACTGCCGGATGCCAACTTGTTGGACAATTTGCACAATTGGCATACGTTTCATTAAATTGTGTATGCAGACAGTGGCTAAAAAGTGGCGTGGACAACTTTGGTGTGGCTTTTGAGCTATATTGACCAGGTTGAATCAGTCAGACATTTTTAAGGATAAAAAAGGCAGTTTTGAGCCCCCAAACTTTAAAATCGATCCATAATTGGTTAAAACTGCAATTTTTTTTATCCTGAAATTGTCCGAAATGGATTCATTAACCTTCAAAACCACTCCAAAAGTTGTCAAATCTGCCAAACTGTCTGCCACATTGGATATACACTGCTTAACCAACTATACAGACACACAGACAATGGGTGGGACTTCTGGTCTGAGGTCAGTCTGACACTAACTCCCTCTCGCCTCCGAGGTATTACAAGATAACAGGAGACCAATCAGTTAGCATGCTAATTTCAGTAAGTATCTCTGCAGCACAATGCATAGACATCTTTTAACATGACTTCAACACAGTAACCTCTTTAAAATCCTTTGATAACAAAGTTAATTCTGTCATAATGTACATATTATACCTTTTAACATAAAGTTGCTGCACCTATTAATGCCAAACAGTCGTCATTAGGAGCCAGAAGTGTCTGACTATTGATTTAATTTGTCATTTCATCACCATTTATGACAAAAGCATTAGGGCCTCCCTTTTTCAATTAGCTTCTCAAAGTGATAATAACATGTTAAACAATTTGAGGCATGTGTTGTGCTCTGGTATGGTTTGAATCCTGTGAAGTGAGAGCTCATTGTTCAGTAGTTCTGCCTCCCTGCTAATGTTCCTCAGTAAAATGTGAAAAAGCAGACATACGGCTCTCCACATTCCTCACATAGTTTGTCCAGTTTAGCACCCGCCCATAACCCTCCGGCTCACCATGAGAAAACAACTGGCCTCCATACTCACAAACCTATTGAAACTGTCCCACTGTTGACTTAGTTAACCCCCGACCGGCGCTGGGTAACGGATGTCTGACGTGCTT